GATTTTGGGCTTGGACTTATCGTGACCTACATTTGGGTCATTGGAATGGGATTGTGTATTAAGCCCAATCACACCATATGACTTATTTAGTAAAGCAAGGGACTTAATGGTTAAGTCCTTAATGGGTTAAGTGAGAAACACTTAACCCTAAGGGTACGTTTGGTACAAAGAAATAGAATTACAAAAGAGATGGAAATGTAGAGAAGGAAAAAGAGAATTGATTCCACTGTTTGGTATAATTGAGAATCCTCTAGAGAAATGTTTCTAAGAATCAATTCTCTTGTTTGGTTGTGTTAAGCACTGAAATGGAAATGAGTTTCTTTTACCTTGTTTATTCTTTTTCAAACAACAGTTTTTTTTTTTTTTTTTTTTTTTTTTTAATAAATAAAAATGAATTATGATATGTATCTTAATTTGTCAAAATATTCATCTTTTATGTTTATAATTTTTCATTTTAATATTACTTGTTACAATGTTGTATTTTATAAATCAAAAGCAAATTAACATAATAAGAAAATTTTAAAAGTGCATGGCTATAAATGTACAAAATTTTCAAGCATTAATAAAAAATAATTAGAAGTATAGGTAATAATAAAAAAAAGCAAAATGTTATCCTTTATTACTTTATAGCTTCACTCTCATCAACCTCCATTGTTGTCTCTCGCAAGCAGATTTGTCATTTCCATTTTCTCATTTCACTTCTTTTTTGTTTTCTTTATACTTTATTATTTTGTTGGCTACTTGTCTTCTTCACTTGAGTTACATTTTCTGCCATGGCTTGATCTTCGTTCATATTGCTTTATAAAGCATCGTCTTTTTTCGGTTGTTATTTTTAGTTGTTTCTAATATTGTAAAAGACAGTATTCATACATAATCAAAAAATGGTGAAAAGTCATACTTTATTTGTGTAATGTTGTATTTTACCTGCCAAAAAATGGTGAAAATACATAAAGCAAACTAGAATTCACAAAAACAAATGAATTACAACTAAACAGGAGCAATTAAGGACTACTTTCAGAAAACAACAACATAGGTACTTGAAGAAAATCAAAAAAAATTATCATCTTCTTCAACACAAATCGATCAAACCATAAGCACATAAAACAAACTAGAATTCACAAAAACAAATGAATTACAACTAAATAGGAGCAATTAAGGACTACTTTTAGAATACAACAACATAAGTACTTGCAAAAAATCAAAAAAAATTATCATCTTCTTTAATAGAAATCGGTCAAACCATATACACATAAAACAAACTAGAATTCACAAACACAAATGAATTACAACTAAACATAAGCAATTAAGGACTACTTTCAGAAAACAACAACATAAGTACTTGCAGAAAATCAAAAAAGTTATCATCTTCTTCAACAGAAATCGATCAAACCATAAGCACATCAAACAAACTAGAATTCACAAAAACAAATGAATTACAACTAAACAAAAGCAATTAAATTGATGAGATGGATTGTACTTTACCTTAATCGGAGAATGGTGGGTTGCCAAGATCGACCAATAGAAGAATCATGCTATACAAACAAACACAAAAGGCAGGACTAAGACCTAGGTCGACATCCTGTCCAAAGTCGAAGGCAAAATCGAACATGGAAAGGAATCGTAGGTGGAATCGAACATAGAAGGAAAAAAACGAGTGTAGTGCTCCAGTAGCCATGTTTGATTGAAAAATCTTGATCGATTGTAGGTAGTGGGGATCGAATGGGGGGCAATTTGATTTCTCCGCTTTTTTTCTTTTGATTCTCGATCACAACTTCTTGTTATGTTTCTCTATTTTCTCTTTTATAAATAAAGAATGGATTTGATGGAAAAGGAATTGATTTATTTCTCAATTCCTTAATTTTTTTGTATTAACCAAACAAGAGAAAAGGAATCAATTCCTCTTCCTGCACTTATTTCCCTGTACCAAACACCCCTAATTGTCATTTTATGTGAAACCCTAATTTCACTTGGGCTTTGTGTTAGGTCTTTCTTTTGGGATTTGGTAATTGGATTATTAATAGGCCATCCAAGAATAATCATATGGACTAGAATATGTTGATGAGCTTAGGGTAAGGCCCATATGAGGGTGTGGGCCCAATTTGGAAAATTGGGTCGTGGATGGGCCATAGTTTGGGCCTGGGTGATTATATGATATTGGGCCATTGGAAATGACAAATGTTTGGGTTGGACTAAGTAGTTGGGCCTTTAATTATGATCATGTAAAGGTTTGGGTCCAATTTGGAAAATTGGGATATATGTTGGGCTTTGGCTCATTACTTGGCTTTTGGGCTTTTGTAGTATGAGTTGGACCTTGGGCTTGGAACCCAATTATTAATTAGGTGATGTTTTGATATTGACAGTTCGAGAATCTGTCATCTAACATTGGGATTGTGTCTACGGGACTTCAACATTTTAAGGTGAGTTATCCTTACTGTACTAAGGGGTCTAAGGCATCAAGGCCGGCCCATTGGATTTTATACTCTAGTAGTTATTGATGTGTTGAGTATGGGTTATTGATGTATGCCAGTTGATATGCTATTCTTGTAGATCTGTTGGACTACCTGTGATATTGTATGATTATCTGTATGTGTATTAGTTATGTTACATGTCGACATGTTATGTGGGATGGGTTGAGGTGGTACTGCTCCGTGCGGTAGCCAACAAACCCTAGGGTATTCTAGATATGAGATGAGGGCCCAATAGGCATTCCAGACTCATACTGAGGACTCAGGAGCATTCCAGATACGAACTGAGGGCTCGATAGGCATTCCAGACTCATAAAGAGGGCTCGATGGCAATTCAGATGTGAGCTGAGGGCCCGATAGGCATTCCAGACTCACACTGTGGGCCCATGGGTATTCTAGTCTGTGAAGCCGTGGAACCGTTACGTGCTGTTTTGTTCAGTTGTTATGTTATGATATTGCTGATATTGTTATGTGGATTGTATGTGTATCGGTATTTTGGGGGTAACTCACTAAGCCTCGGGCTTACAGTTTCACTTTATTATTTCAGGTACATTAGATGATCTCAGGAAGGCAAATGCGTGATCGTACAACTCCTTACTTTTTATGACTATGTTTCTGGGATACTCTGATATATAATTGTTTTGAAAACAAATTGGTAATAACTGTTGGTTTCTAAATGTTTTTAAAAAAAGTTTAAATTTAGTCTGATTTTTATGGATGTTACACAAGTGCAAGAATAACAATGTACTTTGGGATTTCTTGTATTTAAGTGCAAGAAATAACAATGTAGTTTGATAGTTTTTGTTTATGTTTGATAGTTTAACTTATAAGTTTATATATGTTGTTATTTATTATGTAGTTGAAAAATCTTCGGACAATGCTTAACGGCCCGACGTGTAGGGAAGAACTTTATGCATTTTTTCAATCGGGGAAATATCAATGAGGAAACGAGGGGAACATAGAGGATGGTTCGTCGGATAATTGATTTGTGTTTTGTATGTTAGACTTGTTGTGATACTTTGGTACCTTTTGGAATTATAACACTTTTGTTGTTTATTTTGTTATGAAACTATAACACTATTTTGTACCTAATCGGATGTTTTTATGTAATTTTTGTGTGCATTTAATGTTGTTTCATATCGGTTTTTTTGCACCCAAAAGTGTTGATTTAAAAAAAATTTAAAAAAATGAAAGATGTTATTACCGAAGAAACTATACCGACGACAAAATATTACCGGCAACAAGAACATTAGCGGCGACAAATATCTTTGCCGTCGACATTTTGAGCAATAATGACAGAGCAATACCGATGACTGTTTACTGGCGACGTGTCGCCGCTATTGCTTTTAACAACAATATTTCTAGCCTTTACCGGTGACTTTTGTGCCAGCTAATTATTTTTCTTATAGTGGATGGTATGTGTTTTTGAGAGAGAGAGAGAGAGAGGATCCCCTCTTTAGTTCTTTTAACTTTTAATATTAAAATTTAAATAAAATAAAAAATATCTTAAGAAAATGAAAAAACAAATTTAAAAGACATATTAGTTTTTTCAAATTTGGACAAATTTTACAATGAAACTAAAAAATTACAACCAATCCAAAAAAAACAAAAATTCGGAGAAAATATATAACACAGGGACATTTTTACAGTATATATACTATATAACTTAAACAAAATTTAATAATTAAATATGCATGTAGATCGGTGCCTAATTTTGATTTAAACCCTAAAATTAAAAACATTTTACAAAGAGTGTATTGCAAAATGATTTGACTAGTCTAGTGAATAGCCCTAAAATTAAATGGGTGCATTTATTATTATTTTTCTATTTTGGCCGGTTGAGGCCGGGGCCCGGGGGATCAAAAGAAATGTATACTATATAGTAGTGGTATACATGTTTTAAAAATAAAAAAAAGGCAGTAAAACCTTGATTGCAACGAGTTTTCCTATCCCCATAGATAGGTCCGCCCTAGGAGATTGCATTGATATATTTTACTTTAAGGCCGTAATACTTTAATACAGTACTTGATTTCTTATGATAATTGACAAGCCGGATTTCAAAAGGTAAAAATCATGCAATTGTGTTGTGTTATTTTTCTAAGAAACAACATTGCATAACAATTTTTGTTTGTTTATTAACATAAACCTAATAATTTATATATTGGGATTATAGAAATTTGAAGCTAAAGGAAAAAAAATTCTTTAGCATAATGAAAATGCCCACCAAACAATTAACTAAATTACAGCCAAAAGTAATATTGTTGATCAAGGTAAGCTACATACTAGCCTACAACCTAGTAACGCTTGATGATTGGAGGGGTGGATGTCTACTTGTTTGACAGGTTTCTTAATATGATAACTATATGGATAAAACACCTTTTAATCATTTTAGGGGATAGGGCTCGACTTATTTCATTAAGTTCTAAAAACTCAAACTAAGCATACCACACAAACACAAGTCCACTTTGTTGTTCTTGGGAACCTTCTTGTTTGAACATAAATACAAGCTTCTAACATTGCATTTTCAATTGAACAATCCGAGAAAAGTAACATCATACAAAATTTATATTGTATAAAGGTGGTATCTAATAATAAGATTATATTATAAGGTAAGATTTGGGTTTCTTGCTTACACAGATTATTGGATTACATGATAATATATATAGTATGATGATTAATCAAGTCTTGCAGGATGAATATTAAAGTCTTACACTACAATGGCTTCACGTCATATCAAAATAAGGTATCATGTATTTAAATGAAGCCACTTTAGAATGTTTAAATTGTATGTGCATTGTAATTTTTGTCTTTTCAATTTATACATTTTTGTCCTTATGATATAAACTAATTAACCAACATATATATATATATATATATATATATATATATATATATATATATATATATATATATATATATATATATATATATATATATATATTAAAACAATTATGAAATCAAAACCAACCATCCATTTTGAAAAATTATTTTGACTAGCAAATTCATCAACCAAACAACTTGGCAATGCATGGTCTCATTCCCTCAATCCCCATAGACTAATTCACAAGATGACAAGCCACCGTCCTTTGTGCTTGCCATGTGATAAAGTTTTCCCTAAGATATCAAAACATTTCAAGTGTTTTTACACACACGACATCTCCGACAAACTCACTATTCGACCAAATAACAAGTACTTTGTCTTTATTTTTCTCAAGTTTTAGTTTTGGATTCATATATAGGACAAACAATTAGGATACAAACTTTCAGAACGAACCCCCCCAAAATCTTCTTAGCAAGAACCCTTTGCTTTAGTGACACATATAGTATTTCTTTGTGACAAAACTTCCTTCTTTCGTGACACTTCTTTGAAGTCAATATATGTTTTATGGGTCGATCCTTTCACCTCATCAAAAACAGATTCCTTTTGCATGAGTCGAAAAACTAGTGTCCTTTTCACGTTCTTCGCAACTAAGATAAACCATGTATTTGCTCACTCCGATCATCTAATTTCTTTGGATGTGAACTTAAAGTTTTATTATGCATTAAACAAAAAAATCTTTCAAAACATAAAAATTGATATGCTGTAGTCTTACATGACACAACGATTAGGAATCATCACATGTTGATAAAAAACACATCGTTTTCCATCCTTAGAAATGTCTTATAAAGAAGTGGTTAATTATAGGTTGATTTTTAATAAATGTATCAATAAGATGTTTAAGAGGTTGAATGGTGAGTTATATTTTTGCAAATATTCATCTTAATATAAATAAATAATGAAATAACAATAAAATATATCATATCATGGTATATATATGAATCATTTTTACTTAGGCCAGGATCAATTAAATCCAAACAAAATCAAGAAATAAGTTAAGGAAAGTCTCGAAATGTTAAGTATTTTCTGAAGTTGATCCTTGCTAAAAATGTTAGGAAGTTAACATCTTTTTATCACATTGGTTTCTTCTCCTCTTTTGCTTTATATTTGATATGCCATGTTGATTTGATTCAGAATGGAGCAAAACCTATTTAATTAACCTAATTGAAAGTTTATAACTAATTACATGTTTTAGTTCTATTAAAACTCGCTAATACATAGATCTGCCACCCAAAAACAGCTCTCATGTTACAAGTCTACCAACATCACTGTGAACAAAATCTTCAAAAAGTCAAAAACACAGTTTCGCCCAAGTTCCACCACCACCACAACAAACCGTTCTTTCAAGGTTCGATGCGAGAACTCGTCCCAGGGCCCACGCTTGGATGAATCTGGGGACGAATTGCATGGAAAATCATGGCGATCACTGGAGGGTGTAGTCCACTGCTCATCAAATTACGTACCTTTATCACCTATTAGCTTCTTGGAGCGAGCAGCCAGTATTTACAGCCACCGGACATCGGTGGTTTATGGGTGTATTAAGTACACATGGGAAGAAACACACCGTAGGTGCGTCAAGCTTGCATCTGCCATTAACCATTTAGGGGTTTCTCGAGGCGACGTCGTAAGTTTTCTTTCTACTCATTTAGTAACCATTATACTAATCATTACTGAAGCTAAAGTTATGGAGTGCAGGTAGCGGCTCTAGCACCAAATGTCCCGGCTATGTTAGAGCTTCATTTCGCAGTTCCCATGGCTGGAGGCATCATTTGCCCTCTCAACAAACGTCTGGATGCAAATATGGTTTCAACCCTTCTCGAACACTCAGAAGCCAAGATCCTCTTTGTCGACTACCAGTTATTGCATGTAGCTGAAGAAGCTGTCAATATTCTCGAGAAGATGGATTTAAAACCTCCTCTTATTGTCGTAATATCTGAACAAGACTCCCTGTCTCCGTTGAAACCCACAGGAAAATACGAATACGAATACGAGAGCCTTGTGGAGAGTGGAGTGACTGAATTCTCTATAATCCGACCAAATGACGAATGTGATCCTATCAGTTTAAACTATACATCTGGGACAACATCGAGGCCGAAAGGGAGTAGTTTGTAGCCACCGAGGGGCTTATCTTAGCTCCATTGCTTCAGTGTTCATACGTGATATGCGAGAGATGCCTACGTACCTTTGGACGTTGCCTATGTTTCACTGCAACGGATGGTGCTTCACGTGGGGTGTGGCTATCGTTGGTGGCACTAATGTTTGCCTACGACGTTGCGATCCTAAAGATATATTTAATAATATAGTCCTTCACAAGGTGACACATATGGATGGAGCTCCAACTGTCTTGAACATGATTGTGAATACTCCGGTGACTGATCGGAAACCACTTCCACACGAAGTTAAGATCGTAACCGGCGGTGCACCTCCACCTGCGTCAATCATCTCAAAGATAGAGGAGCTAGGGTTTCGTGTATCTCATATTTATGGCCTCAGTGAAACGTATGGTCCAGGAACTTTATGTGTGTGGAAGCCCGAGTGGGAAAGGTTGCCTCGTGAAGAGCAATTTAAGCTTCAAGCACGACAAGGAGTGAAAACTTTGGTGATGGAGGATGTCGAGGTAAAAGATCCTGCAACAATGGAGAGTGTAAAATGTGATGGGAAATCGTTAGGGGAGGTTATGTTTAGAGGGAATGCAGTCATGAGTGGATACTTCAAGGATCTGAGAGCAACCGAAGAGGCTTTTGCCGGAGGATGGTTTCGAAGTGGTGATCTTGCTGTTAAACATCCCGACGGGAATATAGAAGTAAAGGATAGGTCCAAAGATATTATAATCTCCGGTGGTGAAAATATATGCACGATCGAGGTGGAAACTGTGATTTATAGCCATCCTGCAGTTCTGGAGGTTGCTGTCGTTGCACGTCCCGACGATCATTGGGGTCAAACTCCCTGTGCATTTGTGAAGTTGAAGAAAGGTGTTGATGTTGATGCTCAAGAAATTATTCAGTATTGTCGAGATCGCATGCCACATTATATGGCACCTCGAACTATTATTTTTGACGATTTGCCAAGAAATGCAACTGGTAAGGTACAGAAGTTTGTGTTGAGGGAGAAGGCAAAGCTTATGGGTAGCCTTTCTGACCGGAAAGTATAAACCTCATTTCCAAGTTTTCATCAAATGTATGAGTGATTCTATCCATGAATTGGGTAGCGTCAAAAATCAAATAATAATGATAAATATTATGTCGTCTATGTACGTTTACATAACATGTTTAGAAATTAATATGGTAATTTTTAGTATATATTTATCAATCTTGGAATCAAAATAGGGTAAGTGTATCCATACTCTTTTTATATTCTAACAACACCCTACTAATTATTATGATACTAATTTTAATTTAAATGATTAAAATGATTAATTAAGAATTTAACCATTTTACTTATAATGGTAATATTTTTCCTTATAATTATTAGCTAATAATAAAACCGTCCAAAATGCTTATTACGAACACGTTCATGGTCTACGTGACCGCATACCACGATCATGCATACCATCCCACTTCTCCGACTGTTTCTCTCGCTTTTCTGTCTATTTCTCACGATCACACGATGTTCATACTTCTGAGACTGTTTCTCACGCTCCGATGATGTTAATTGTATCTCTCTTCTCGATCTTTTCACGATTGTTAGTGACTCTAAACGATGGTTGAAGGTGGCCATTCGTTGGTTGAAGGTTACCGCCAGTTAGTGGTTGCTGGCAATTTGGTTCTCTATCTCTCTTTCTTTCGTTCATCTCCAATGGAAACATTTGTTGAAGGTGGTAGTTCGTTGGTTGAAGGTTACCACTGGCTAGTGGTTGCATCGGTTTGGTTCTCTACCGGCGACATCGATAGTTCGGTGGTTCAAGGTGGTGTTAAAGAACATATTTTCTTTGATTATTGTTAATGCATTGCTTAATCTATGTTGTTATTTATGCTTATATAAAATATTGTGGTTTATTGATTGCTTAAAGGAATTTAATGGTGTTCCACGTTCAATGCAATTATAATTTGTATTTTGTTCATAATCTTACAATTTAGTGTTTTTAAAATAAGGGGATATGACTTATTAGGGTAATTACCTTTTCGTTTTGTTCAAATATGAGTAACTTTTTTTTGTACACGTCTAGGTAACAAAAACTTGTTCGAAGTGTTCACATATGACCATTATGATCGGTTGTAGCAAGTTACAACCGGTCATGATAGTTATATGTGAACACTTCCAACAAGTTTGTTACTTAGGCGTGTACAAAAAAGTCACCTAGATGTGAATAAAACGAAAAGGTAATTACCCTGATAAGTTAAAAGCTTGTCGAGTCGAAAGTTTGTCGGATCCCCATAGATCTGATGGGGCAAGAGCCTAATACTTATATTGTAACATCTCAAAAACCATGGTAAAAATTTTCAATTTTATAAAACATTTCCACAATAAATTGTAGATAAACATCCATTTTTTTTTCAATTCACTTCCAAAAAATCAGAGTATCAAGTCAACCTCTCGAAACATAAAACAATAGGATGATGTGTATGATCGCGCCTTCATTTTGTCTCGATCATCAGAAGTACCAGAAACATTGAAATCAACAAATATAAGTCAAAGCTTAGTGAGTTTCCCTAATATACCCCTCATAACAATACATATACAATGCATACACATCGGTCCCACATCATCACACTGGATTGCCCCTGAGCCTACAACATGAGACTGGATTGTCTAGTCTCGGCCCACAACTCATGACTGGCTTGCTCCAGAGCCCACAACATAAGACTGGATTGCCCTACCGGCCCTCATCCTATGACTGGATTTCTCCCGAAGCCACAACATAAGACTAAAATGCCCTCCCATCCCTTAACTTATGACTGGATTGCTCCCGGGTTAGTTAGCTTACATTATACAACAGTACCGCCGCAACCCAACCACACTATGTTGACATATGTAAACAGATAAATGATAACCATCAATACAAGTAATTATACAGATCTACCAATTTAACATGTTACTATAATATATCAACATCCTACACACAAGGACACAGACTGCAGTATAAAGTATAGTGATGAAACTCACATCGCAATCTTGAAGATCACAGTGATGATCATAGATCCAATAACTGGCTCTACAGTTCACCTATACAACAAATAGGGACCAAGTCTCAATCTACAACCTAAAATCCTTGATTTGACCTAAAATCAAACTTGGTCAAAATCAAGGTCAACGGTCAACTCCAGTTGACCTACGCTCAACGTAGAGCTCAAGGCAGTAAATGGGCAAAATCATAGCTATACCCATCGCAAGGAAAATTATGCCCTACATAGCTCCCCGGTAACCAACTAAATTATTAGGTCCTTAAAACAGAAGAGTAGCTCCGTATACTATCAAATCTATACCAAATGGACATCTTAATATATAAAGTCTCTGACTTTATCAATTTGTATGGCCACAAGGAGCACAAAACCAGAACCTAGGTCCATGAAGTTATCTATTGCTAAAGAATCCAAAGATTAAGGTTTTTGAGCTGCGCTCCTATGCGCGACGTAGCTTAATGTCACACCCAAAAACCGAGAATGGCAGAATACGTCCTGGGGTGGAGGACGTCATGTACAATATCATAACAATACATAATAGTAAAAACAAGCAACAACATCCATTTCATTAATATAATATTTTTCATACATGTGTGTTCTGTACAATAGACACCAAAAGTATAATCAAAATAAAAGATGAGTCTTATATGTGCTCCATCTTCTCAAAAGCTGCATCAATACCTGTTTATTGTTGACCTGAGAATACATGTTATTTTGAAAACGAATATCAGTATAAAGCTGGTGAATTCATAAGTATTTAGTGTCGTTGTTTGTATAAAAATGTTTACAATCATGTAATGAAATGGCTGTTATCAAAATTTGAAAGTAATTTGATTCCTAGAAAATCCCATATTTTCCAGCAAAAATAGTGTTTTACCAAAACTAGGTTATTTGTATTTTCGTGTCTTTGAAAATGTAATAATCTTCTCGTGAAAATATCAGTAATGAAAATACAGTTTTAAACTCGTTCATTTTAGAGAAGGAATGGAGTTTCACCCCTGCAGCATCCCTGCTGGTTAAATGTAATAGTGAATGTAACTCCAGATAGTATTAGTCTTGTACACACCTCGTGATGTGTGTTTAATTAGGATTTGAATGTGAGCTCGTATGAAATCATACTGAGAGATAGTAGTATAGTGGCTGACCCTCCAGGTCACCAATACTGTAGTAGTGTTTTGTCATCCCTGGGCCAAAAAGGCCCGGGCTATAGCTGGCAGCCGTGATGGGGGAAATCCGTCCCATATAGATCTATACACATAGTGGTCGCTTTCCCTCCAGGAAGCGATGGTTATCCGACAGTTGCATAGCAAAGTGTTGTATAGAGAAATAGTGCATCACATTCCATTGTAGTATTTTCTCTCGTACAATATAAAGTATTCTCTTAGTGTACTATGTAATGTTCTCTTGACGTAGTTTATAGTGTTTCTTCATATAGTGGATAGTGTTACCTTAGCAAAGTATAGTATATAGCGTTCTTTTCACATAGTGTATTGTACATAAAATCTTGTAATGGTACTGACCATAGTGTGTATCATAGTAACATTGGTATTGAATAGTAATCCTTAAGTTTACCTATTATAGTTAAATAGAGTACTTTAGTTGAGTGTCTTCGATAGGTAGGAGTATCGAACTAGAGTGAAAACTTTTATATCTAACACAAATATACAAGATATATAACTAAGTATTATGTCACACCCCAAAACCGGAACGACGGAAACGTTCTGGGGTGGATGACATCATGTCAAGTATCATAACATATGCAGTATAGTAATCAAAGTACAACAACCATTGCATTAATAGTAATAGTTTTACATGGTTTACATTACATTACATCATCAAAGTAATACAAGTAATAATATAGGTGCAACTTGGTACTAAACTGTCTTCACCAAAAGCTCCTGGGATGTACCTATCTATTGCTGACTTGAGAATACAAGTTATTTGAAAGCGAGTATCAACATTTTTACAAATGCTGGTGAGTTCATAAGTATTTAGTGTCGTTTTAATTCAAATAACTTTATACAAGTAGTAGTTTTAGAGTACACAGTGAATTAGAGTCCTTTCCAGAAAATCCTATATTTTCTAATTTAAAAGCAGTCTTCTACCAAGACTGAACGGAGTTATGTTGTAAAAAGTGATTTTTCCCTTAACGCTATCATTATCAAAATAGGGTATTGATTGTAAAGAAAGTAGGAGAATATCAGGGAAAATAACATATGCCTCAGCAGTGAAGACTATTGACTAAGACAAAAGAAATCATAGACTCCAGGAGAGTATCGAATGAACGACGCGCCTGGCTCAGTCTAACGAGAGAAAACACAGAACCCAGCCAATATCAAATGAATGATATGTCTAGCAAGGTCTAAAAACAGTGAACACAGACCCCAGACAGTACCAAATGAATGATAAGTCTAGCAAGGTCTAAAACAAAGAGTGAATGTGAACTTGTGTGTAACCATTCTGATCGACGATAGAGTATCCGGTTACCCTCCAGGTCACGCGTAGAGGTAGTGGAAGTAGTAGTGGTAGTAGTAGTAGTGGCTTCATGTCACCCATGGGCCTTACCGACGCGAACTGTAGCTAGTAGTCAGGTGTGGGAGTGTCAGTCCAGTATAGATCTATACACATGGTGTTCGCTCTCCTTCCCGGAGACTCTGGTAACACGACATTGGCACAATGAAGCGTCGTAGAGAGTAATAGTGTGTCACATTCTAAAGTAAGAGAGATATAGAGAGAGTGATAGTAAAAGAGATAGGGTGAGAGATAGAGTCCCTTAACTATTCCTATAATAGTTACTAGTGTCTCTGATCTATGAGTGACGAGTGAGAGGATGCCCTTGCTACCCAAGGGAAGTGAACTGATCGATGTAATCCTATATGTCTATGCTTGTATACATAATATATAACTAATGATCAAACGACCTTCGGACGGACATCCGATCCCACCAGACCACATCTCAACAAAGAAAAGGAAATAGGGCGAACTAGCCTTCCTAAGTCCTTTAAACATTATTTATATAACTTATACAAGCACATGCATACATAGAAGCATTTAACGAAGTTTAAGTGTTTAACGAAGTAGAAGTGTTTCACAAAGTATAAGTGTTAACGAGTAGGGGCGTATTGTGAAGTATAAGCGTATCGTGAAGTATAAGCGTATCGTGAAGTATAAGTGTATTGTGAAGTATAAGCGTATCGTGAAGTATAAGTGTATTGTGAAGTAAAAGCGTATCGTGAAGTATAAGCATATCGTGAAGTATAAGTGTATTGTGAAGTAAAAGCGTATCGTGAAGTATAAGCGTATCGTGAAGTAGAAGTGTATTGTGAAGTAAAAGTGTATCACGAAGTAAAAGTGTTAACAAAGTAGTAGTGTTTAACTAAGTAAGAGCATTAACTAGATAGAAGTATAACGAAGCCGTAGTATCTAACAAAGTAGGAGTATAAAATCATGGAAGAAAACTTTGATGAAATCTTTGGAAAACCTTTATACTTTAAGAAAATCATTCATAAACAAGTTTTGATTGTAACCTTGATAAAATAGAGAAAACCTTGGTTTAAAATGCTGCTGTAGCAGAGTTTGAAATAAAACATACAACACAAGAGGCAATTTGAGAAAAGCTTTGAATACATAGAGACATTTTAGAAAACCATTTACAGTATCATACTTGGTAAAACAATTAATAGTGTAAAAAAATCCTTGTGCATGCGGGTTATTAATCACATGTGATTGATATGATAACTGGCATGTTTAACTTGTATTCCCCTCCTTAAAAGCATGTAAAAACATTTAAAATGTTAATTCAGGGGTATGAACTCACCTGTT